ATGGCATTCCTGGCAAGAATGATTGATAAGTGCAATTTAATAATGCTAGGTCATGGAACGACAGCCTATGCATTGTGAAAGTGGGTGCAGAAGCAGCTATATAAACTTAAAGGACAAACGAAACGGGAGACAACAGCAAGCTGAAAGCTCACTTTTGTTTGTGGTCTTTTTTTGAGGCAGAAGCAGTCATGGTTTGCTTTGAGCAACGCGTACTAAAAGGCAGCCATATATTTCTTTTGAATCTGAAATATGGATAAGATGCAGCTTATTATTGCTACTGAAACCTACTCTGCTTTATTTTTAGAAATCTGTAATAGCTGGAGCATTTGGATTTTTACAGGCTTTTTATGAGTTCTGTCTTTCACTCACTGATTTAGTAGATTATTGCAAATGGATCTTTTAAATGTGCTGCACGACTCAAGGCACAACTAGAGAATGAAGTTTTTTGAGTTCAAACTCTCCCTCTCCTTACTCTCTTGACTTCAAAGGTATTTGGAAGTAATATATTTATGTGGTTCCCTTTTGCTTTCAAATTTTTTTTTAAAGGGTGAATGGTATTTGTGTCTTGATATTAGAAGCCACACTAGAATTATTTTAGAATTGTTATTGTGCCCTTGAACTATATCAAAGGCTTCCAATGAAAATCAGAGTTAAGCTGCCACTGGGTGAAATCTCTCCCGTGGACAGGCAGAAACGGTGTAATGCTAATACGACCGGTTTGTTGTACTCTGTAAGAATAACTCCTGTTGATACCATATCAAGCCTGTGTCATGAAAGAAATTAGTGGACTGAATATATTGCAATAGGCTCTTAAAATCTGAGCCTTTTGTGCATATGATTTATGCTTGGATAAAAGAATATTACAGCATACAGATGAAGAAGATGTATGTGCGCCTGTAATATTCTCCTTATTTTTATAGTTCCAGAGGCATATTGGTATTCTGATTGTCTGCACATATTCTGAAAACACATCATTTCCAGTATATACAGCACATCAGGCATTGTGCAGATCCGTAGGGATATGGCAAAACAAAGGTGCACAATAGTTGAGGTTTCAGGTGCAAAAAGCAAAACAGCAGATAATGTGGAAGTTGAACTTCCACTGGCACAGTCATTCAACCTCATTTCTAACTCTGTATTTCAGAATTTAATTGTTAAAAAGTAAAGAGAGAGGCCTGGACAATATTATCTCTGGACAACATTATTAACTTTATATTTAATAACACTAGTTTTATAGTCCCTGGGATGTTGATTGTAATATGTAGGAGCCTTCTTGTACTTTATATGCTGCACTGCTGGGTTCTTAATGGTTTCAGTGAGCTTTTGCAGTTTATATTTCAGAAAGTTAAATAAAGTGAGGGAATGGTTAGAGGTCCAGTGTTGTACCTGCAGCTTTCTGTCTCAACAGTTTGCCATGCGGGTTTGCTGTTGTAGTGGCTTTTTCCTCATAGCAAGAAAGGTTACACGATTTATCTTTTAGAAATAAAAGTTTAGAACTGGCAGACTATTATGTAATAAAAATACTAGCTTGAGGGTGGGGTTTTTTTGTATTCATCTTAAGGATGAAGGGACAAATGCAAAGAGGTTGTTCCGTTTGGGGGTAAGAGAGACAAGGAAACTGAACCAAGACATTTCAATGGAATATTCCAGTGTAGCCTGCTGAATTTCTGCTCAAATGGCATCTCAGAATGTAACTTAGTTATTGCTCTGTGTCTGAGTGCCAGGACAAGGGTACTCAAAAGAAGTAATGGTGCTGCTGACTCAGATCTCCTTAGGATGGAGGAACTGGGGATGGAAACAGCAAACGAGTGTCAGCCCCAGCTCTAAATACGGCATCAAGGGTCAGTGGCAATTTTTGTGCTTGGGAAGGGGTAGAGGAGCTACACTGATGGCAGCAAGGCTGTGGGCACATCTCCTCTGTGCTGGGCTGTGGAAGGGGTTAGGTTTGCCCCCAGGAAGGTTTTAACCTAGCAGGCTTCATCCCTCTAAGTGCAAGATATCACGGACAGAACAAGCAATGATTTATACACAGGGATTACCACAGTAAAATCTGCCTGCTGTGAGCTGCTCTACCTGCAAGGTCCTGCAGCACTCCTGCGTGGAGGCACAAGGCCTGACACAGGTGATGGGTGCCCAGCCCAGGAGCAGAGATCCAGGAAAGGACATGACTACTTCTGCCCTGGGCAAGCAATGGAGGTCGTGGAAGGAGTGAGATCTCCAAGTCTATGCACCGTATGGTTCAGGTGGCTCATGGACTTTTTGCTTTCCCCCACATACTTTAGCTGCAGAACATCTTCTGGGTTTTTTAAAGATAAAAAAGCTTCTGAGAAAGTGATGAAGCTATTCTTTTACCCTCGTGCTAAAAAATCTGCTTGACTCACCTAAGCCATGGTACAGGAAGGGGCAGAGAGAAAATGGTTTAAAGCTGTAACAAGTTCATGGGCTTGTGTGCCAACACTGGAACTTGAGGAGCTACAACAAAGCTGATGAATGACCTTGCACTGTGACAATGCTGAACAATGTCATGTTCATATGGGGATAGATTTTATAAGGTTGAGACAGCTGTTTTCACGTGAAAAATAGAGATTTTAATGTAACACTATGTTGCAAAATAGATTAGAAAGTCAAATTGAAGTACCGATAATCGGTTTCTACTTTTATTACATTTGTTTGTTATCATCATTCTGATTGTCATAATTATCACTACTTTGGGGGTTGTTTTTATTTCAGGGTATTCTGAAACGTATTGGTTTGGAACAGTACAACTCTACCATGTTTTTATTTTGTTTGAGGTTTGTAATGACACATTTATTTTGAGTGATCATATCCATCAGAACTGAAGAAAAAAATGGCTGCCTCCTAGTTCAGAAGAATATGCAAACAGGAGCTTAATTACATCACTTAATATTGACCAAGGGAAAGAATAAGAAGAGCTTGCCAGCTCTTTTCCAAAGCATGTTTTGTCCTTTAAGAGGGGAGGGTATGACAGAAAGTTAGGCAGTGCAAAGCAATTAGCATCATTCACATTTTATGTTGCGCTAGCATGGTGCTCTAGCAGCAAAATTCAAACATTCTTTGAATGGGTTAATAAAAGAAGAAATACAGTCGGCATGCAAGAAAAAGGTTTCCAAGAACAAGCCAAAATATGTCCCATTCTTCTAAATTTATCACAGCCATGTCACATTATCCTTGAGACTGCCAGGAATGTCAATTTTTTTGCAATTTAAAAAAAAATATCTCATTTAGCACCATATGTTTGGTTAATGTGCCTGATATATCCTGCGTATTCTTTAGTCCATCCATTTCTAATACTCATTTTCTTTTTTTCCCCCCTTGCTAAGCCATATGTTACAATGCTGGTTATTCTATCGAAGCTCCTTTCAGGAGCTCAGAGCGAGAGTGAGGGAACTCTGGTTTAATCACCCAGGAAAATCTGAATCTGATACTACAAGTCTGGCTCTTAGGTGAGCGGTCTCAACACTTGAGCTAGCATTGTAGGTGCTCGGTGCCTGTGAAAATCAGGCCACCTATGAGGTGGCATGGTGTCTATTAACAACTGTGAGGCAGGAGCGGAGATAAATGACTAAATATGGAATTAAGCGTTTAATTTTTGGCACCCATGTTTGAGACTCTTGGCTAGTTTTAAAGGTCTTCTGTTTCATACCTAATGAGTTTTAACACATTTAGTGGTCCCCAGTGTGCAGCTTCCCCTCCTGTGTTGCTCAGGAACGCAGGAAATTAAAAAGTTAAAACTGAAGCTACCCCGGGCAGAGCCCAGGGAGGATGCTGCTGCCTTGTACAGCTTTCCTCAGCATTGTTCCCAACAGCTTATGAATATTGGGGACCACTGCACTGACGACCAGATTTCAGCACTTCGCATGGCCCCAAAGAAGGGGCAGTGCCAACTGGTAAGGACACCTCTGAGTCCCGACTCTCCTCTGTCTCCTCTCTGGTGCAGGGCAGCAAGAAATGACAATATCCCCCAGCCCGTCTCAGCTGCGCTGGCCGGTGAATAGGGACTGGAGCCAAGGATCCTCCCCGCTCCCTGCCTCTTTCTATCCATCTGCTCCGAGCGAGGAATAAACAAGAACAGCCAGAACACAACGGCTGGGTAACCCAGGTGGGGTTTAAAAGTGTTTCGTACTATTCTGTGCCTAGGACCGTTGTCCAAATCACAGCCACACCTGGCACTTAGGAAACACAGATTTGGTAATTCAGGTCTGAATCTCCTCTGAATACGTTATTTAGAGTGCAAGAGAAGAAAATCAGACTCAAGTCTATTTTTGTCTTATGGCAGCTTTTAAGTACAGAATAAATGGAAAAGTTAATTGCTAAATAAAAAAGAAAATAAAGGGATTTGTGGCATAAAACACAGATGGGAGTCTGAGTGGGTGTGTTACTTTAACTTACTGTACTCGTGTTCATGTGGTTCTCCAAGTATATGTATGCCAAACATACATGGTCTTAGCCTGCTCCCATTAACATGAATCCATATTTTTCACTGGACCGAGGGAACCAGATCAAAGACCATGGCGGTGCTAAATGGAACAAGATGTGGACTTTCGTATTTTTTTCCAAAAGGAAATATTAATTTGACATTGGTTTTTCAGTTGAAAAGAATTTTAATTGCAGTACACAATAAGCAGAAAATTCAGACAACAATAATCTTGAAACTGTTAGCAGCATTATATTTCTATCAAGGAATTTGTGTGCCTTTTCAACATTAGAGCTTTCTGAATTTTCATTAATTTGGCATTTCCCTAAAAACACAAGTTATTTTGTTCATTCCACATCATGCATCACACCCTTCTGCTCAATGCATAATGCAAGCGTAAATGGGATCCTTGTCCTTGAGAGACTCTGGTTACTGGAGCCATTGCACGGATGTCGAAGTCCCGCAGAAAGACTTTCCAAAACTCTGCACTTCGCAAACCTCCAGCCCAAGTTTAATCAGTGAATGCCCAGGAAAACTTCATGTTCCTCATCTTCTAAGGGGCACTGGAGCATTGTGATGGTTTTAATTCCTCTACCTCCTTACGTTTGCCAGTACCAGAAACGCACCACATAAGAGTCTTCCTTGAGTACAGCTAAAGATCTTCAAATTTTCATGTATGAGGCTGATAGATATTTAAATGGACCAGAAAATGATGCGTGAGAATTGAATGCACAAATCCTTCCCAGAACAAATAAGTAACTAGGAACCTATTTTCCATACACCTATGCACCTTCCTAGCAGAGGTACTGGGATTAGGATTAACTCTGATGGAGCGAATGGAGTCACAGCAGCATAAGAGGAGAACAATTCCCCTTCTCTCCAAATCTATAGCTATAGCTGTACATCCACCCAATGTCACTTGTCAAACACTGGCATCATTCTGACTGCACACATCTTAAACAATAACTCCAACTCAAGTTAGCCACGTTGGTAGACAAGCTAATACTCATCTTCACAGATGACTTTTAGCCCATTGTTACCCCAGTACCTCTCTGCCACTAGACTCTTGATGGAGATTTCACAACAAAATCTACGAATGAAATATGGTCTGGAACTTCATTCTCAAGGGACACTGTGAGAAGGAATCACAGAAGCTCAGATATTACCAGGTGGACCATGAACTCAACAACATGCAGAACAAATAGACGATGCAGAAAAACAAGTCGGCTGTTGAAGAAAAAAATGATGTATGGGAAGATTTTTTCAAGGAATTTTCGTCCTTCTGTGCAAATTACTCCAGCAATTCTACTGAAATCAGTGTCAACAGAAACGCTGATCAGCTGCTTTTTTTTTTTTTTTTTCCTGGGGAATTCTTAATTTCAAGCTTCTTGAAATATTGATGCCTATGCTACTGTCAGTCACAGTAAGTCTGTTCTACTTAGTGCTGAGCAAACTTTATTTGTCATCAGCTGAGATATGATCACACTAACTGCCATCCATCAGTTTACTGTATTAGTTGCTCCAGTATACACAAAATACAACACAGATGGAAATTCACTCATCCTAATGAAGTGCTCTTTAGTTTCTATGTTCTGAATGGATACTTACTCTCCTGGTCGCATCCTGAGTTGCCGTGATCACTGATTAACTACCTGCCAGTGAGTACCTCGCTTCACAAGACCACATCCAGCTTAATAAACAGTGATTTTAAGGGAGAAAAATGAAAGCTCCCCCTCTATCCACTTATCAAACTACTGCATATGCATCAGCAACACACACAACCTCAGAACTCGGCATCTGACAGATCATCAGGAAAACAGAGCTAATCTATCCGTACCCATCAGCATCGTATCATAGGTGACTGCCAGAGACTTAAGAAGCTATCCAAAAGAAATGTCACAACTTTTTTTTCAAGACACTACAAAAGAAATGTTCCAAATAAAACAAAGCAAATGCACGCACAAGTAAATGAGCCAAAGAACTTAATAAAAGGAGATTGATTAAAATGAAGACCAGAATGTTCAAAAAGGACTGAGAGAGAGAGAGGTGCCAAAGGCGCATTAAATGGATTCAATGGCTTTAGGTTTTAAATGGTTTTGGATTCCTCAGCAATTTTTAGCCAAAAATGATAATTCAAGTTAGAATCAAAATTCTGATGTCACTTAGGGAGAAGAAGGTTGCGATTTCTCCTTTACAAATGAGCATTGCTCTATTTACAAAGGAGAAATACCAGTTCATACTGATGGATAATCTTGCCTACAGAATTTTAAAACTGAGCACTACAATATTCACCATTATTTTCAAATCCTGCCTCATTAAAATCTGCCTTATGCTGTTTGGTGCAATGTTCCCATAGAGTGTATCACCTTATCTGTTTGTGTCTATCTTTACAGCATCATCTAGATAGGTTTAGATCTCTTAACTTAGCCTTCTCTCCTGCTTTGTCACCCAGGTAGTTTTTTCAATAACTAATAAACTAGTAGTCAACCTATTACAAATTTCTTCAAAATATAATTTGGTTTTACATATAATTTTTCATTTTACATTTAAAATCGTCAATAAGAAGTGCAATAAACAGCAAGATAACAGTTCAGTTTTCCCTTTGATTTAAAGTTAGTTGCAGCATCATTTTGCGTTGTATAAATACATAAGAATTTAATAAGAATAAAAAAAAAACCCTAATGACGTCTTTAGACATCTCGTCTGAAATTCATGACTACATTTGTTTCATTTCAAATGTTATTTGAGAGTTTTTCAGCATACTTGGCAGATTAGACATAGCAGCAGGGACAAACTGCAGCCATCCATAGGAGAATATACCTTTATGTGGGTGCTTTGGGGATGGAACATCTATAGCTGTAAGGCAAAAAATGCCATCATAAATTTGGATGGCATTTACAAAGCCCTCTAAAAAGTCTTTGCATATGATTATAGCTGAGGTATGATATTTTTGCAAGTAAAAGATCCAGAATAGATTTATGTTTCAACTATATCTTTCTGAGATGCATATGGATGCTAAGCTGCAAGTGATACTAAAGGGAATTTTAGTAACTGAAGAGGATGGAGTCAAATTTTCTGTGATGGGTTGTTGTTCTTTTTTTTTTTTTAAATTTTCCCAAAATCATTTGCTCATTATTTGCATGTCATCAAAAGATCATTGGCTATCCAGGCTATCTATAACAACGATGGCTGCTAAACGCCGAAGGCATGAGATGGAGATGGGTAAATATGCAGATTTTTTCAACCCGTGACCTCAGTTACTGCATGGCAATGTTTTTAAATGACTTTTATGATGACAAGACTAAGTTTGACGCTAATATCCGTTTTGAAGACTTAATCGGCATACACTGCCATTGAACATATGTTTTAATTAATAAAAGAGCTGTGGTCAGGATTGAGAGTAGCTCAGGTAATTTACCGTGCACTGCAAAGTCACCTGATTTCTGCACAATTTGAGGTTGTGTACATTATTGCAAAGAAAGGGAGAGTTGCAAACTGACTCCACGTGCATCGTACCACACTGAAATGGATCTATAATTTGACAGGTCAAGAGTGTACTCATGGAACTGTTATGTACTGCTGTCCAGTGCCTCCTGGTATCCTTGCCTGACTGCTGAGGTTTGACAGTCACAGGGCTGAGCAGTCATCTCATTTCTCCGTGACACAAAAACTAATTTGTAGCTGACCTACAGCTGCTGTGCTCTTCTACTGGAAAGTGTCCATGGCCAGTTGTAGGCTGGTAAGCGCCTGCTGGGACGGCACCGGGGACCTGCCCCCAGCAGCTCCTGGGCAAGGCTGGGCAGCTCCCGGGCAGTAGAGACTTAAACTGCGCCCCAGCAGACTGGCTCCCAGGCAGGTGATATCAGCTAGGTGAAATCAGCCTCATTTTTCTGCATTCCCAATGGCTTTAGGATTCTGGGAGGAACAAAGAATCCCTCTGGAATAAAAGGAAGTGTTCCCATTGCAGAGAAGGCAGAGCGCAGCAGTTTGGCGTTGGCATCGTTTCCAGAGGAGCCGGGTGTGACCGTGCCGCCTGCAGGTCTGCTTCTGTGATCTGCCCAACACCTCTCTCATCTGCTGAGCAATGTAAAACACATCTGACAGAGAGGCAGAGGGCTCCCAGGAAGAAACACCCTGCGGGTTCCAGGAAAACAGGCATGGGAAGGGCAGAGGTAACATGTAAGTGCTCCCTTCGGCGCTGTCACTCTGGCAAAGTGCTCGGCACGAGCTATCTCCTTACTAGACACTGGAGAACCCACACGAGAGGGGGGGGGACGCCTGGTACACCCCCCCAACCAACACAAAATCTCTATGCACCAAGAACAAGAGCATTGGCATTGTTTGAATAAGCACACCCACCATGTAGTGCTCCGCGGTGTTCGGGGTTTCTTAGATATCCTGATTTTATAAAAGAAAGTAAAAGAAGAAAAAAGAAACAAGGTGAGAGAGAACACTATCATATTTTGTAGCAAGCAGGATACTGTGTGAAATCTTGGCCCAGTGAAGTGATAAAGGGGAAGCTTTCAGTTTACTTAAGGGAAAACTTACGAGCGAATAGTAAAATTACCAAAACACCACATTGCAGCAAATGGGTGCGTTTAGGTTCAATTAAGCTGTAAAAAGGAAAATGGCACTTTAGCTTACAAAAACAAAGGGACAGAGGGAGCTCTCGGAAGCAACTTTACAAGATTTGTATGCATGAGGATGCTGCTTCACTGGACCAAGAAAGCTACAGTATGGGACAGGATTTTCTTTTATTAGACACTTTGCTAGATAGCTTTGTCGAACCTCAGAAACTGCTGCTCTGGCATTATGAAATAATCCTACATAACTTGATCTCATGAGCGTAGAGAACACAGAAAAAACAGCCATGCCAAATCAGATTACAGGGATCCACCTAGCCCAGTATCCTCTCTCTGACAGTGGTAACTAATGGATGCCTAGAAAAGAGTAAAAGACCAGGGAAAGCATACAGTGATAACTCTCCGAAATACTCTCCCAGCCTCCAATGATTTGTGATTCAAGGACTTCGAGGACAAAGTTGAAATCATAGTATTGAAGATACTCGAATCCAAATGCACAGATTTACACCCCCCTCCTCCCCTTTTTTTTTGGATTTCTACCCCCATGAGATTTCTGCTAGTCACACAAAAAAAGGTTTCACAGTTTGGCGCTGGCAAGTCCAGTGTTCTTGCCACTAACTCTGAACGAGCTCACAGCTTTCAAGCCCAATGATGTTATGTGTATAAGAGCATCCAACACTTTTTCCTACGTAAAAAAGTGACATGTGTGCTGAGGTGCTCTAAGTGAATATACTTCGGGAGGTTTTATATTTTTAAATTTTTTTTTAAAAAAGCAAGAATCTGGATGTAAATTGATATTAACATTTTTCAGTATATGTGTAAAACACATGTTTCAGAAGAATAGAAGAGAGAAACTGTCACTCACTGGGAAGCTTTAGAGCTATCTGGCTCCCTGGGAAACTGCATGCAACTATTCTGGTGTCCAAGGGTTTGACCAGTGAGTTTCCTCTTCCTGCAAAGAATGAATGCAGAAGTAATAGAAAGTCTGAGGGGGAAGATTTTAGCAAATGGCTAAAAGTACTCCTATTCTGCCCACTCCAGCAGGTAGGGAAGCGAGTGGTGGTGGCGATGGAAGAAAAAGGGTGGGACAGGAGAAACGCCTGCCCTTCCCCTCCCAGGAGCTGGCGCAGGGGAAGGGCAGGAGCCTAACCTAGTTGAGACTCGCACCCTCGCAGCTCAGCCCTCTGCAAGCCCTTTGTGGATGCTGCACTGCCATGCGACGATGCCGACGGGTCGCCGCAGCCCCGGCACTGCCACACGACGTCAGGACGTTCTGCTCTGATTAGCTGGGGTCTTGCTGTGCCTCCCTTTCAGGCTGGAGCACAGCTCACCGGCACTTGCTGATTGAAACTTAGCACGCCGGGGTGGCGGAGCTTCATTAATGCTGCTCCCAGGAACATAAAAACCCAGACAGCAACAGGGACTTCTTAAGCGTCGTGCTTATTTGACTGTCCACTTCTCAGGGGAGTTCTTCTGAAGTTTTAATTTTCTAATCAAATTGGTGCCTACCTGTGAAATTTTTGCTTCGTTTATAAAAAGAATCAGTAAAAGTAGAGGTCTAGGAAAAAAAGCTTATCCTTACATTTTCGATGGCATATTGACTTTGTAAGAGTCTAAAGGCAGGAGTGATATATTAGGGAGTCCCTATAACTTTACTTAAAGCAAAAATTAGAAAGTGATCGAAAAGTTTTATAGAGGAGAGCAGAAATATAATTTTAAGCCTCCTAAAATTGCCTGAACTGCGAAATCAAGTAATGAACACTAGAAAAGGATCTGTCAGCTGAAATCAAAGCTTAGACTAGTCAGCATTTTCTTCCTAAACCTTATTATGGCAAAGATTTTTCATCTCTGCACTCTGTTCAACCCAACAAATAAACCGACTTGACCTCCACCTGTTAGGCGGTGAAGTCCGCTGTCATCTCCGACTAAATCCCATTCTTCCCCTTCAAAGCCCTCTGCACCACTGAGGAGGTGGGAAGACACAGCTGTGCACTGCGTCGAGCTGGTACCAGTTCATAACCAGGCAGCATTTCACAGTACAAATTACAAGCAACAGAGGAGAAAAGGAAAAAAAAAAAAAATGTAGTGCCAATGAATTCTGGAAGGGGGCAACATTTTTCATCAATTTAACAATGAGATTTTCATAGAAAGAAGTTTGGGGTTTTGTTTTGTTTGTTTGTTTTTTTTTTTCTGTGTGATATTATGAACTAGCATTTGAGGTAAGAAACATTTTGCTTATGCCATAACAATGAACCTGTGTTAACACCACATCGGAAGAACTGAAGGACATAATGGAAGCTATTTGTGTTTCTTTTATATTTCAGAGGTTGAATGCATTAACTGTTTCAAAGAGGTTCATCTCCAAATGCATGTACGTTTCTAGGCTTAGAAACAAGTCACGGCTATATAATGTAACACTGCTAAACAAATAAATAAAAAAAAGAATATTATGGAACACAGAACAGCAAGGTAGGTCATGAGGAAAACCATACAGCTATAGCAGTCATTTCTTCAAATATATCATCATGACAAAACCATGTAAGAAGCTTTCTAATACAAAGACATATCAGAAAAAGCCATTTCACATGAAGTTGGACTTCTCTGGGTGATTAATGCTACGTTCAACAAAGGAGACAGTGTCTGTCTAATTACATTAAATACTTATCTTCTAGGGATTGGCAGGGTGTTTCTGCTCAATGTCACTTTTCATGACAATGTAATGATAGATCCGTTTACTTACCAGTGCCATTAGCAAAAATTGTACTGTTTTCTCAACTGCCCTCATATCATGAAAATATTTGATTAACACACTGTAGCTTATCTAATACCCTAAGCAACATATTCTGCATAGTTTTCTCTCTATTAAAAGAGCAAGATTACAGCTGGTAAAATTTTTATTGCACTCACACAAAAATAAATGAATAATGTGTGATATAGTTCAAGTATCTTACTAGTCCACAAACAGGTTTATTTGCTTTAAAATATTAACTTATGCTTAAAATATTAAGATTTTGGGGTAAACAAGCAAACAAACAAAGTCAACGCTCTGAGGCACTACTTCCCATCCAGTTTTTAGTTATTATTTCCTTTTCATTTCAGCACATCTTTTGAAACTTTTAATACCTTAGGGGGAAAAAAAAAAAAAAAAAAAAAAGCAGCTTTCATTCCTTTGCTGAAAAATAGATATGGCCATATCCCAAGACTTTAAAATTCACCACATCGTGAACTGACTCCTCAGAGTCATGCTACTGTGCCAACAGAGAAAGAACAATAAACCTCTGTAAGAATGTACACAGCGAAGGCAGTTTATAGAGTAACAAGATAATTTCATAAACCTATATTGAAGAGAAAGGCTGTGATGTAACATTCTAGCAGTATATATCAGCTACCTGATATTTGCTAACAAGGTTAAACGACTATCTGTTTGTCTCAGCACTCTTCATAACTCACTTTTTAATGGATGGACAGGGAAAGTCAGCAGTGGATGGCACAGATCATTTCAGAAATAGGACAAGACAGCTTACGGCAGTATCTATTTCAAAACACGCTCCATCCTTCCATACGATCACATCAAAAGTCTATACTTAGCAACTACAATACTTCAAATCTACTCATAAATCCTTTGAGGGGTAGGTTTCTCTTTCTAAGTAAACCAGCAAATTTGAAAAATAAAGAATCCTGAGGAGGAGGTGTCGCCGTCAACTGGTGGCATGGATTGTGTCTCACTTCTTGTCTTCTTGGTACCTCGTGCCTGTGCAGGAGAAGGCACGTGGGAAGCTGCCTTCAGTGAGGAGTTAGGACATCAACCCCATTTGCTACAGCTCCTCACACTGCCACGAAATGGCAGCAAGAACGTACCCAAACTGACCCTTGTCAGGCACAACCCAACACAGCGATGCAGAACTGACCCAAACTGTCCTAAAACCCCTTGCGAGTGACTCCTGCGGCGAGAGGTTGACACCACAGCCCAGTGCCACATAAGACTCTCCAAATTAATAATGGATTTCGGATGTTCGTTCCCTGAGCTGCGAGGGTTCGGGGTGTGCCCGTAATTATCTAGATATAAGTCTGACACACATTATCCTTCTATCAATGTCATCTCCTTTAGTAGCCAACAGATTATCAGCAGCTTTGTGATATTCCAGGTGTCAAAGAAGAATTAAAGCCACAACAATTGCACAAACAAAGGGACAAAAGACGGGATACGTGTTTCTGAGCCCTGCATATCAATTTAATATGTGCAGCTGACAATGATGCAAATGTCCTCGGGAGAGAGGCAGCAAGATCTGTGCCCAAACATACACACACCACCGTCAGCAAGATGGCAGGGAACAGAAGCAGTAGGATTCCCAGCCCAGGACACATGCCTCAGCAGGCAAAGCAACCCAATGAAACAATCCTCTGGTTGGGGAGAATTTTGGAAGCACCTGATATGGAAAAGGGCCCTAAACAAGCCAGATGGTACTTGTAGCTGGCAGCAGAAAGTAGGAGACAGCCAAAAACATTACAGCATTTCCCCAAGAGGCCAGCAAATCGATTTTTAACCATTTTTTTTTTAAAGTGACGCTATGAATATAAAAAATAATGTTTCTATGCATTTTTAAATCGCTAATTTTATGAATAATATACTTAAGGAGGCAACAACTGGAGGAGATGGGAAAGCAATGGATTCTCACTTTCCCAGGGCGGTTGTATATCTGACATCAGGCTTCTATTCAGTCACTGCCACTGTTTACTCTGCATTAAGTGCCAGGTTTTGTTTAGGGTTTTCCACGTAACATTAGAGAGAAAAATCCTGCAAAAGTTGAGAATGAT